AATTAACACAGGTTTTTGGTGTTCTAGAAGTACATATTATATTTTCAAATGATCTTGGATTGCTTATGTGTGTACTTTGACAATATGTTTGACAATATACAGGTCTTGGCTGACAGTTTAATATCCATAGGGATAATAAGAGTATAGTGTGGCTTAATACTATCTCTTAGAGTGCAATTTTCATGTTAAGGCAAGGCAACAGATGTAAATCAAACTTATTCAATTTTTTGTTATAAGAGAAGTAATGGTGAATAAGATAGTTGCAGGTAATGAAACAAATTAAAAAACTTTCTATAATATTTTGAGAATTCTAAGTCGGCTCATGAATGAACTGAAGATTCTAGGCTCTAAATGACTAAAGTTTAATATTTGGAAAATTTCTAATTAGTTATGGGGAAACATTATTCTATGCCAAAAATACATAAAGTATCATCCATTCACTTAAGAAAATTGTAAATATGTGAATGACAAGTTGATATCATAAATATATCCATGTATTTGTATATGTATCTGTTGAAATCAGCAAATGGGCAATGAGGATATAAATATATATATATATAAAATAAGAAACTATAATATAGTTTGATAAGCATAACATGCTAAGGGATTATTGGTGTCAAAGCAGTTTTTCTTTGTGAAGAATTTTCTTCCATACCTCTCCAGTATGTGCTGTCCCAACACATAGTAATTGTTCTATATAATTATTCAATATTATAATGTAGTGAATCAAGAAGGAATCAAATATATACTCAAGAATAACTGACCTAGGAGGAGACCTTGAAAGCAAATTTTAACTTAAAAGTATTTTTTTAGGCTTACACACAAAGAGAGAACAACCTAAATGTCCTGTATCTTCACTGGTTCTTTCCTAGTATTTGATGGAGATGGGAGAATGAAAGGAAATGAGGAGACAGATACAGACTTAAACTTTTAATAACAGCATGGGCTAAGGGAAGCCTTATCTAGGCTTCAGCAAAGACCAAGATCCCCTATGGTGACATTCTGGAGTATTGTCACTTAAAGCATATTATAAGAATCAGATTAAATAAGTGAACACATGTCTGTGGTGGCTGCCAGAGCACCTCCTTCATATTGTAACATCACTTGCCATTTGAACACAATGACATTTCTCCTTGAAAATTTAAGTGGTACTGAAACTGGATCTGCCGCTTCTACCACTTACAAAACTTGACTCAAGATGGAGAAAGGATTTAAATCTTAAGACATGAAACAATAAAACTCCTAGGAGAAATTGTGGAAAAAAACTCTTGATATCAGCCCAGGGAGAGATTTTATGAAGAAGACTTGATTGGCAATTACAGTAACAAAAATAAATAGATGGGACTTGATTTAGGTGCAAAGCTTCTGCACATCTAAAGACACAATAATTAAATCAAATAGACAAGCTTCAGAATGGGAAAAAATATTTGTATGTTATGAATCTAACAAAGCATCAGTAACTAGAATCTACAGAGAACTCAAGTTTTTCAACAGTAAAAGAGCAAACAATTCCATTTATCATTGGCTAAGACACATGACGGAACCTTCTCTGAAGAAGACAGATTAATTGCTAATAAACATATTAAAAAAATGCTCGTCATCCCTAATCATCAGAGAAATGCAAATCAAAACCACCCTGAGATATTACCTAACTTCAGTGCAAATAGCCCACATTATAAAGTCCCAAAGCTGCAGATGGTGGCACAGATGTGGAGAAAAGGGAGCATATTTATAATGTTGGTGGGACTGTAAACTGATACAGCTTCTTTGGAAAGAAGTATGAAGAATCCTCAAAGAACTCAAATTAGACCTCCCATGGATCCTGCAATCCCATTACTATGCATCTACCCAGAAGAAAAAAAAAATCATTTTATCATAAGGACATTTGCACTAGGTTTTTTATTGCAGCCCAATTTATATTCACCAAGATTTGAAAACAACCCAGGTGCCCATCAACACATGAATGGGTGAATAAATTGTGGTATATCTATACCATGGAATACTTCTCAACCATAAACATAGATGGAGACTTTACATCTTTTGTATTAACCTGGGCAGAATTAGAGAGCATTCTCTTTCTAAAGTATCTCAAGAATGGAAAAGCAAGTATTCAATGTGCTCAATACTAATATGAGGCCAGTAGATAGACGAACACATGCCCAGACAAGAGAACAACTCAATTTATTTCAATTTGGGAGAGAGGTGAAGGGAGGAGGCAGGGAGTTTGGTGTGCTCCCACCTAATGGGCACAATGTAAAGGGTGTAAGACACACTTCCTGGGTACAGGACACAACTACAGCAGGGACCTTACTTAATAAATGTAAACATTGTAACCTAATCATTTGTGCTTTCATATTAATCTGAAAAAAAATATATACATATAAAAGTGTTAGCAACAAAATAATTGGTACAATAAATTTTATCTTCTAGTTATTTTATTACAAGTATTATTTTTAATCCAGTAAGGGTATACCATAAAGTCTTAAAAATCTTGACTTTAATAAAAATATAGGTATTTTTATGCTTTCTCCACCATGACTCTACCAACAAAATATTAATTGGATTTTCTGCTACAGATTTTTCTCTTTTGACATAGCTTTTAAACATGAATAAAAGTATCATCAGTATTAATTAAAAGTATTAATAGTCTTGGAATTCTGGCCACACCTCTCTTTTGTTGTTTATAAATCTATAACATATTTATGTTATTGTTGACTTAAAAATATGTTGATTAAAAAAATCAACTATGGGGCAATGCCTGTGGCTCAAAGGAGTAGGGTGCAGGCCCCATATGCCAGAGGTGGCAGGTTCAAACCCAGCCCCAGTCAGAAAAAAAAATAATAATTAACTATGTAATAAGTCAAGACAATATGAGTAAAGAGAATACAAATTTTTATGTATTGTTTTTCATGGTTAAATAATAACTAAGCTGAGTACATACAAAATATGAATGTAGGTTGTCTTTAATTTTTCAATATGTAATCTTACTTTTTTTATAAATGATAATTCACATTTGTTTATTCACATCTATGTGTATCACATATACACAGAAATACACCCTCATTGAATCAATGATTGCTATGTTTTTCTAGACGTTAGTCATTACTTTTGTCTGATACTTAGATAAAAACCTCAGTGAGCACAACCTAAGATTAAGAATGAATCACAATTAATAAAGAGCATGGATTTCTGTATTGTCCTATAAATACTGAATTTGTTAAGTAAATGAGTCGAAATAATACAGTGGATCACACATGACCTCCTTTTTCCTACATTTAATTTTTTTGACATGTTGCTTTATTTTAGTATACATTTTCTTTCTGTATTATACATGTATTTTCTTTCTTTCTCCCACATAACATTTCATTTTCTAAGATTACTAAAATAAGAATTTCTTCCTTTGTATGAAACCATATTTTAAGATGACCTCATCAGATAATTTTTTAAATTCAAATGAAAATAGTTGCATTTAGCAATCTGTGCGGAAAGAATCAAAAGTAATATGCATTTACATATTTTTATTTTTTTAATTTCTAATTACCTGATGATATAGGAATAACAATGAATAGGGGAGAGAAAAAAATCATTGTCCTTATTGAGCTTATAGTTAGTGGGGTAAGAAATAGTAATAAATAACAATGTAAATCCATGTTACAAAGCAGAATATGTGATATGATAATCTGGGAGGAAAAAGAACACTTCTTAAAAGACATATTTGAGATAAAAATACAGGAAGTAATTATGCAAACAGGTTGAAGAAGAGCGTGTCAAACATGAAATACCATGTACAGTTGATACTTTTGTAAGATTTCGAATCCATCCTAGTCATGTGTATGGCTGGCTAAATATTTTTGAAAATAACAATTATTTTATTGCAAACATAAACACATTGTATATTAATTTCTGAAATACATTATTTTTATTCTGTTTAATATGTTATTGCTGCTATTAATAATGTCTTTTTTGTGTATATCTTCATAATATTATAAATCAACAATTTAATTTCAGCCTCTTATTCTGGACTGAATGGGGACAGATACCCTGCATTGGAAAGGCTCACTTAGATGGCTCAGAGAAGGTTATCCTTGTAAGCATGGGAATAGCATGGCCGAATGGCATCTCCATTGACTATGAGGTTTGTTGTGTTTTTTTTGTTTTAATAGTATTTAAAGTGCTTTACTGATAATTTGCATCAATCCATTTTAGTGTTCAGTTATTTTCTTAACAAAATTGTCAAAAATAGGTTCTAATAACTTTTTAATTGATCTTTAGGAAAATAAATTGTACTGGTGTGATGCTCGCACAGACAAGATAGAGAGAATTGACCTTGAGACTGGAGGGAATCGTGAGATGGTGCTGTCAGGGAACAATGTGGATATGTTTTCAGTTGCAGTCTTTGGGGCTTACATCTACTGGTCTGACAGGTAATTTATTTTTTCATAAGTATTTCAGACTCAAAATGTTATTTCAGTGCCAGTTTCTTTACCCTTGTAGGATTAGCCATTTCTTAGCAAGGTCACAAAAAGGATCGCACAAAGCCATGTAATTTCCACAGAAAAGGCAGGCACTAGGCTATTCTAGACTCAGGCATTTCAATGTCACAGACTAAAGTTGGTTTCTTTTCCTTCTGTTGGGCCATCTGTTATCTTTAGCTTAAATAACTGTCTTGATTTTAATTAGTTGAAGATTGCTGCTCATGTACGTTCAACTTTTTGCCAGAGCACATGCCAACGGGTCGGTCAGAAGGGGCCACAAGAATGATGCCACAGAAACAGTAACTATGAGAACTGGCCTTGGAGTCAACCTGAAGGAGGTTAAAATCTTTAACCGAGTAAGAGAGAAAGGTCGGCACTCTTAACAGATTATATAAGAAATACTAATACATTTTGTGTTATTTTTCTTTGATTTTTAAAAAAAATTTGTCAAACTAAAGGCAAGGATTTTAATATAAGCTCAAAACCTAATTGCTGTTTATATCAATTTACTATAAAAGTTATATAGCAACTTAATGAAATTAATATATAACAAATAATACCTAAGTATATGTGCCTAGGATATATATATGTTAGATGTCCAACCTATCATGAGTATAGGTTTTGGCTAAGATATATAAAAAAACTTGATGAATATACTGATTTGAGAAAAAATTAAAAGCACAATTTGGAGATAGATAATAAAATGCAGTTGAATTTTTTTGATTATATTTTAATATATAAAGTGGTTATGCCCCAGATGTGATGCTGTTAGTGTAAAATATTGCTGAATTTGTCATTTCCTTTAAAATGTATATTTGAAACTGAAAAGAAAATGATTTGGATATTTAAATATTGTTTTTATCTCTATTAAAATAAATTGTAACTGTATATATTTTTTGTGTCAAAGGAAGTTATAATAATTTTGAAGATGGAGAGAGAATTAGCCTGATGAAATCTTAAGTGCATATTATATGTCTTCACTCAAAATTAGAATGAAAATGTAATGCCCAATGTATTTAATAGGTCAGGAAGATTTTACTCACGAACTTCTTTGATACTTTATCATATAAAAATACAAAGCTTAAAGCAGTACGTTATTTTTGGTGAATTCAGTTCATGTTTTGAAACAGTCAGATTATTTGTATTGTATCAGAGATTACAATATGTAAAACTTATTACAGTGTCAGTATTGAGCTTGAAATTCTTTTTATTTGAATAGTAAAGGGAGCAGAAGAATAAGATTTTAAAATACCATGACATTTTTATTGATGAATCTTAAAATTAGGAATAAAGTGAATATTAATATTAATTTTTTAATATTTCTATAAGGAGAAGTTTATTTCAAAAACAAAAGGAAAACATAAATGTATGTGTATCTTTTTTCTCTACTTTAGGGACCAATGTTTGTGCAAAGGACAATGGTGGTTGTAAGCAACTCTGTCTCTATCGAGGAAATTCCAGGAGAACTTGTGCTTGTGCCCATGGATATTTAGCAGAGGATGGAGTTACTTGCCTCAGGCATGAAGGCTATTTGCTATATTCAGGGAGAACAATATTAAAAAGTATACATCTTTCTGATGAAACCAATTTAAATTCCCCAATAAGGCCATATGAGAATCCACGTTATTTTAAGAATGTCATAGCCCTGGCTTTTGACTATAATCAAAGAAGAAAAGGTACCAATCGAATCTTTTACAGTGATGCACATTTTGGAAATATACAGCTTATTAAAGATAACTGGGAAGACAGACAAGTGATTGTTGAAAGTAAGTACGAAATTTAATTTTAAATAGTTTCGTAGAAACAGATATCATTTGGATTACTAGAGTAATAATAGTGGTAATTACATATAGCAATTATATTTTCCTGGAGTTTACATTCAGGAATGAATTTCAGTATATCATCTGAACCCCTAAATGTCAAAGAAGTAATTAACTACTATCATTCATAGCATGTATGATTATTAGCTTCTAATCATGGAATTTTCAGTATGTTTCATCATAATGTTTCTTACAAATAAGTGTATTAAAATGCATGGAAAATTATCTATCAGTACAAAATTATTCCAATTGATTTTTTTTTCTGCTGGTTGAAATTATATCCTTAAGAATATTTGTCCAGTAAGAGTCGTTAATCATATTTTTTCAAGAAAATATCAGAGATTTTTTTTGTATATATATATAGATATATATTTAAATATAGCATTCTTAATAAGAAAATGTTATTACAAAATGATCTAATGTTTTACTATTTTATGAGGCTTAATTATTTAAGCATAATATTTAGTGTGAGTTATCCACATAATTCAAAAAAACCTTTCCTTTTATCTAACTTTTATAAGGACCAGCTTATTTCTTGCACAACTTCTATCTCTATATGATTTCCATATATTCCCCACCTTTCCATTTCACAATACTGAGATTAATCTTTGTTCTTTGTTTTTTTAATTACAAAATAATATATGCATTTATTATAAAGTGTTCCAATAATATAGATTTAAATATGAAATTCCTATTTCATTACTGCAGTCAATCCCATTTACTTGTACTGACAGATGGCATGCCTCAGATTTTTGTTTATTTACATGTGTATCATTTTTAACTATAAAAGTGAATAGTAAATATATTATTCAATTAATTGCTTTTTT